ATATAGTATATTTATTTAACTAAACCACACTTTTTCTTCAGTATATCAAACTACAGTTTGGTGTTTTGATTTGTATATCTTTGTCCCATTACACCTGGCTGTTTGTCTATTATGTTTTATTTCTAAAAGATCCCAAAAAGAAGTAGCAGTTATATTCTAAAATACTTATTTGTTGTTGACTCAAAACACCACAGGTCGGTTATACACATGAAAAAAAAACTATTTCTAACTTGTGAAATATTTTTTCTCGTATCATATTGTCTGGCCCTCTGTGGTAACTTTAGCTCTGATTGTGGACATACAAAATACACATGATGCCACAGCTCTTAATGGAGAAAATAGAAGACAAATGGAAAAAAGGCAGAAATATGATGGGAAACGTCTGTCCTGTAATACTATAAAGTTACTACAGGGGGGAAAATGTGTAAAAAAATCAATAAAACAAAATTCAATAAAATATAATCATATTAAACTATAATAATAATCAATAATGACAGAACTCTTGAGTGCTTTTTATTATACTTATACATGATTAGGTAAATAAAGGTAGATTTTATTTGTGATAGTGAATATTCTTACTTTGTTATTTTTACTGTATTTTATTTTAACTTTGTTTAATCTCTTAAAGTGAGGTTTTGAGATAAGCCCTCATGGGGTCTACCTCACCTGCACATATGTTTTTATTCTTGTTTTATTTTTCTGTTTTGTGCAAATTAACTAAACTAAACTAAATGATAGAATAACACCTTTACCATGTTTAGGATAAAATAAAGTACAATTCTGTACAATTCCAGATCATGCCATTTTTTGCGTTCATTCTGGTAAACTTGGCCTTTTTCTTTTACTGAAGGCATGGACTCCCATAATGGTGATACGTTTAAATTATAAAAGGATTCTTCATCCTCTCTGCTCTTAAAGTAATAGGCCTAATGGCGATTTTTAAATAAGTTCCAAAGTGCTTTTGAAAATATTTCAAAACATACTGCAAAGTAAAAAATGAAACATAATATAATCATAATTTTGAGGGAAAATCCAGTTGTTTTACCTCTATAAAGAAACAAACCATAGAAATAGCCGAGGACGGAGTTACTGCCAGGAGTGCGCACACATGAGAGCCTCTGCTGCCCTCTGGTGGTTTAAAGGCAGAGGTGCAACACTCCAGGCTCTTCTCACCTGCTCAAGACTTTTTGTACTGTTTTTGTTCATCCCAGGAGCTTCACTAGCAATATTCATACATATTGGTTTTGATAATTTTGTTAACCTCGAATAATACCTGAAAAAGAGCTACAGAAAAACCTAGCTGTTTAAAATAGATGTTCTATCTGGACATTTACCCTACATGTAAATACCCTATATATTATATATTATCCTATTTATAGGCTACATTTGATCACAATTTAAGTTATTATTTTTTGATCACGTTATAGTTCTACTTTCCTTTTTTTTTACACTGTGCAATTATCTTACAGGGCAATATTTTAATATTTTATATTTTAAATATATATATTTTATTTATTTATCTAAATAATAGTAAGCACAATTTTTTTTTCATGCATGCAATTATTAAAAAATGGCTATATCTATGAATAAAACAAAAGAATAGTGTACATGTTTTTTTTATTATGATTACTAAGCTTTAAATAGATTACCAAATTTCTCCACATCTTTGACTCTTTAGCTGCTAAATAATTTAGTTGTCTCAGTGATTGTATGTTATTTGAACTTTTTTTTTGCATGCTTGTTTGAATGCAGATTTGGCATTAATGGCCACTTTCTTCATTTTAATTCAACCTGAAGAAAAGTAAAGAAATCCAGATCTATAAGATAGTAGAACAAGATTCATGATTCATTCTCATATTACAAAATGTGTGATCCATTCAAAGAAACAAAACGTTTTCCGTTTACACAGCAACATGTGGTTTTATTTATTTCTCAGATGTCATCATCAGAAATATGAACAGCAGTAATTTAACAACAAAGTTGCTGCCCTGTGGTTGAGTGTTCAGTGACAATGCATTGCTCATTGTAGTGATCAGTCTTTTCTTTTCACCATGAGTCTTCAGATTGTAAAGGTCCGAGCGGAGTGGAGACATGGAGTACCTGTGGACATCAGATGAAAAAGCAACAGTAGACAAGTCAAGATTGTTTTCACAAAGTCAAAGAAAAACCTTGGAGTCATTTCTTTCCTGTGCACAGAAGACGTCCTCTGGGGAACACGGAATCATACCAGATTAAGTTTTTCTGGAGATTGTAAAATCAGAACGGTTTGTGGACGGCATTGACCTTTGGGTTTACAGGACATCAAGTAAGTAATGGTTATTGATGTTTGGACTGTTACCATGGGAACCACCCCCGCAACAAGGAAGCTGTGGTGAAAAGGAGAGAAAGTATTCAAATTCCTCGGCAGAAAAGCCAGTCAAATGTAATGTAAAGGGCATCCATTGTAATGCTGGGCCTTTTAAAGAGGTGGCAGCAGGGGGCATTGTGGGACACACAATGAGAACAGACAGTGCACAGCATCATCCCTTATAGTATAAACTTTGTGTGGGTGGACAGCTGTGTGAACTAAGTTGGTGAGTCCATTTTTAAATTAACTTGATCCATTATCCAAATATTAACAAAATTAGCAATCCAAAAGTAAACCTTATAGCTGTATTGTTTTCTTTTGTTCTATTAATCTAGTTTTTATTTATGCTAAAGGCATATGTTCAAGGTTGAAAGTTTACATTTTCTTGTTTTTCTTTATTCGAAACTGCTTAAAGGGTGAGAGAGCAGAAATTAGTTAACATCTAATAGTTAGACTATCTTAACTCAATTTACCAGAGCGATCAGATTTACCAGAGCGATCATGTTAAATGTGAATTCTCATATTTTCTCAAGTCATAGCTTTAGAGTTAAAAAGTTTGTGGATTTATCTGTGATTGGGAAGAATAAAAAGCAACAAGAAAACCACTTTCCTCTATGATGTCAATATCGATATCTTTAGGTCTTTAATGTTTGTGGAACAAAAGGTCTTGAAAATACTTCTACTCTGGCTTTTTATCACTTTTATTATGAACCAAGAAAATACAAGTCAGATTGTATGATAATGGGAGTTGATGTTGGATGAAGCCCCTCCATTAGTTTACATGATAAAGGTGTGAAAAGAGGTCTAAATTAAGGCCTCCTGAAGACCACACACACAGCGTCGTGTCACACTGCACCCTTTTGTGTCACCACCTTCATTTGCATTACAGTGAAGAGGAAGACACACTGCCTGTCAACACAGCGTAGGGCGGGACTCTCAACATTTGACTATACATATGGATGCTTTGAACATTGAATGTGTGTTGTAGAATCACATATGACGTCATCTTTTAATGCTATGTAAACATATTGATAGTCTAAAAAATACTAGGTCTGTACACTATGTAGAAGTGAATCATTAACCAGTGGTCTCACTGTTTCAGTTCAGTGTGATGACATGTAGGACAAGTGTCTACTTTCTTTTATTTCTTTTTTTTATAATTCATGAGTTTCTACTGGTGGTGGAATGGCTGCATTAAGCTTTAAGGCAATGAGCAGGTTTGAGTGTTGTTGCCGTCAAGGCAATGGCACAATGCAGTTTAAAAGGCAAGTGGTGTGAAATGGTGGACAGGGCAGAATGAAGCTCCAGTTTGTTTCTTCTTACATTTCAGTTACATTCAAGCGAAGCGATTAAAAAGAGAAGATAACTTATGATGTCTGAAGAGCAAAGACAGTTGCTTGAAAACACTCTACAGTGTTCTGAATGTGTTTACAGAATAATGAAAGACTCTTCTCACTAAGATGAAAAGATTAGATCTGCTACATGATTAAAGAACTTTTTAACCTGTTGCTAAAGTCTGAAGGATATCTCTGGTGGTCTGCAATTTACAGCTTAGGCTTGTTTTAAACTATATAGGACTTCAGTGTATTACATGGAACTAGAAGCCATATTTAACTACCTAGCTTAAAGCAGCTCACTGCTACATCAAACATGACCATTGCTCTGCTTGGTTTATACATATTTTAGCTAACACCCCTTGGAAATAAAAAAAATAAACTACTATGTGTAATACAAATTTCACATTTTTTTTCACATCTATTCTCTTTGGACAAGGAAAAAATTGTACAATATGAGAAATGGGTTAAAAGATCAACAGCTAATCATAGCATTCAGTACTACGTTAGCTAGGGAGATGCTAAATGCTAACATTACATTTGAAAGTGTTTACAATGCAATAAGACTTTTAACAGTCTGAATTCTGTTAAAACAATATATTTGATGACACATTATCTACGATCTCATAAGCTTAAGCTATGAATTTCCAGCTTTACTATCAAACTGTTAAACACAATAAAATTGCAATGTTAGCTTGACATTAGCTGTTATTTGAAGGTGGCTAATAATTTATCAAATGTCATGTTTTAACTTGATTTATGGATCATATATCCCTCAGGGTTTTAACTAGACATTGTATTTTTAGGTGCTTTTAGCCATTAGCCTCATGTCAGAGGACAATGGATGCTTAGGCTGGAACTTTAGTCTCATCTTGAAAAAAATAACTGATGACTTAGGAAATAAATACAAACAGCAGTAAGTGTTCATAGACCAGAGTGTAGATGCTTAGCACTGTGACTTCAATGCAATTACAAATGAGGGGTAAAGACTGGCACTCGGCTGATTTATGACTAACTTGGTAAATGTTATAGGACAGGAAAGGGAAAACCTCAAGAAGAAAATATCAGATAACTACATTCACAGTATAAGGATCATGTCCTGTTGATCTGACTGTTACAAATAAAGTGTATTATTATTATCTTTTGGTGTTGTTTCAGGCGCGCTCCATGCTTTTCTTTCAAAGCAGAGTGTTGTTAGTGTATAAGCCTACAGTATACAAGAAACATTTCCTACGTGCATGTCTACTCCGTGATAATATGGAGGAGTTCTAACACATTTACAAACTTCTGACAAACACAAGGTACAATACGTACCACAGTTGGAATACACTGGTTTATAATCTGTGACATTATATATTGTAGTAACATTAATGTATCAGGTATATATAAAAGTGACATTGCAGTTTTTGACCAGGTCATATGATTTTAACTGTCAAATTAACGTTTTTTTTTTTTTTACATTTTCCTGCTGGGACAAGGCCACTGCGATCTCTGAGGTAACAAGCAAAAAGAAAAAAAAAGACGCAAAAATAGAGCGATACTCTACAGTAGACTGCCACACAAAGAAAATACACCATAACAGCAGCAAGTAAAGGTACAATAACGTGTAAACCTGAATGAAAGAGAGACTGAAACTCAGTCTCTAGTTGTCAGAGCTAACTAGCAGCATTGTATAGTCAGTAGTGTTCAACACTGACGTCCATCACAGACATAAGCATGTGCTGTAAATAGACAGCTAAGCAGGCAAAGAAAAATACATTTGCCATTTGTCAGTTTAGTTTAACCCCAAACCCTGGAAAACAACAAAATGAGCTGGGAACAACAACTTTTTTTTGTTCCAAAGCTGGAACATGTTGGGCAGTTCAGTGCATGTTGCTCTTTGCATTTCATAAACCTGATAGTCAGCTACTTAGGGAACCTTACAGGGTAAGAAAAGCTTAATGTGATTTTTCTAGATTCTTGTCTTTTGCATGATATGAGAGCATAAGAGTGCACTTTGATGTGATAAAAGAGCAAATATTTATATACATCAAGTCAAGGAAAAGGCTCTTTTTCTGTTTGTCTTTTAAAGTCAGTATCCACCAAGTTTGTTTTATTTCCAGGTTGGTTTAGTACTTCTGCTGGGCGTCATAGAGTCTTTAGACGGGACAGCCTTTTCCAAAGCGTTAGTAGTCTTTCGGATATCTTCACGTGTGGGGAGTGGTGGCGGAGTCTCGCTGACAAAGGCACTGCTCCTGGATACTTTCACACTTTGTACTCGTCGCAGGTTTGTCCCTTGTGGGCGCTCCTCGCCATTAGCAACTGATGGCGAGAACCTTGTTTGCTTCACAGAGGTATGTCGATTGAGAATGGAAGGGGTGCCAACCGGAGTGGTTGGGATGGACGGCACCCCCAGCTCTTTCTTTGTCCTGGTAGTGGAAGCGACGGTGTTGCGGGCAAAGCTCGGTACATCAGAGTTGTTTCTTGCACTGAGAGTGTTACAGCTGCTGTTCTCTGAAGAAGCTCCAGCCTGTGTCTGGGCTTGAGCCTGAGCCTGAGCCTGAGCCTGAGCCAGCGCTCTCATGGTGGAACGGCACATCTTCTCCTCAGGTGGAGGCTTAGGGATGTTCCTCACTGGTTTTGTGCTCGGCTTATGGACAGAAGCCTTTTTCTGAGTTGCATCGTTTGCCCATCTTGAAAAGGTGCCTGTCAGGCTACTTCCCCTCTGAGCTTTTGACTCATCAGGAGGAAGGCTGGAGTGTCGAAGAGGTCTCGTGGTCTTTTCACTCCTTCCTCTCGGTGGAGTGCTCTGGTCCCGAAGAGGACGTTGTGATTCTCCACTGTCATGCGCTGAAGGTCTCTCGGCTCTTTTGATGCTCCCTGTTCTTGTTATCTTAGAGATGGGTAGAACTTTCCGCATGCTCAGGTTCTCTGTGCTGGTAAGTGTCCGCACACCATGACCTCCGCTAGATTTGGTTGCTTTGCCAGCTTTGCTCTTGGTATGAGCTGGTTTTCTGCTGTTTCTCTGAGTGTCTCTCACAGAACTTGGTTTTCCCTCAGCAGTGTCGCAGCTCTCAGTGTCCCACTCCTCTGTGGTAGCAGACGGAGTCATGGATGCTGCATCCACACATTTGAGCTCTGAAACAGGCTGGTCATTGGGAGACATGTAGTCCAAATTAGAGGACAGGGAGCTTGGATCCTGCTGGTTCTCCTGTTCTTTGCTTCTGAAATGAAGTCCCTCTTTCATTAGAAATGAACTTTCAGTCTCAGAGTAATCAAAGGTGACAGAGCAGTCTGTTTCCGAGCAGTCTACAATATAAAACACTGGTTTCTGTTTTGATGCAGAGGTATCTAGAGGGAGGGGGGTATCGCATGTTGTTGATGACAATGTACTGTGGTCTTCTTCTTCTTTTTCTCTCTCAGGAGAGATACCAACCTGCTGATGAAGATCTAATGTGCCTTCCAAGGCCGCCTTGGCATCTGCGCCTCTTTCCAAAACTCTATTACGTACAAGGTTGTCAAGCCTTAAGGGAAGTCTTCGTTGCTCCCTTTCTAAATCAGTCACCACGACATCCCCATGGTTCACAAAGTTCATATGATTGCTGTTATTGTTTGGGCTTGGTAGGTCAAAAGCTTGAGGACCTGGAACCAAAGTGTGCTTCTCCACACTAACATTCATGTGGCTGGAAATGGTTGGATTAGGAAGATTGACAGGCTTTTGAAAGACAGAAAATGAACGAGGCAGGGCGCTGCTCTCAGACAATGAAGAGTATTTATTATTGTTGATGCTGTAAGGATCGTTATCATATGGACCAGGGGAAGAAAACACTGCCAGTGGGCTGATAAGCTCAGTTTCTGCATGTGGAGATCGCACCGTTCTGTCGCGGTCCAACTCTCGGTTGTCATCCTGAGCTGAGATCCAGGGGATTGTCCTCCGCTGCACTGTGCGGCCTGTCCGAGGTAGGCTGTTAAATTTGGAATAGTCAGAGGGATTCCCAGAGCCACCAAATATCTCCAGGTAACCTTTGAGTTCTCTGTCTGCTATAGAGGTCATGGTGTGCCGGTGGCGACGGGCGCTGGCAGAGCGTCCCATTGGGCTGTGCGGACTCTCAGACCTCTGCTGAAAAAAGTCCAGCAGACCTTCCTTAGTGAGCATCTCCACGTCATTCTCGCTGCTGCTCCGACCAAAACTCTGATCTGCACCTGACCAAGCGAAACGCTTTTCCTCCAACTCCCTCAGACGACGCTCTCTGGCTGCTTCCTTCAACTCACGATCCATGTTGTCCTGAGGGAAATAGCGAGTTAAAAAAAACTTAAGAGCAGGTGGGCGGATACCAAAATATAATGGCAAAATCACAACAGACTTGAAAAATACACAAAGGAATTATTGCCTTAAAACACACCTTGACAGCTTTCTTGAACTTAATGCAGAAGTCTTGAAAGATGCGGAAGCACTCATCCAGCTTGAAGGTGTCCTTGTCTTCACAAAAGAAATCGATGAGAGCGTTTCCCTCTTTACGCAGATCCAGCCTGCGTCTCTTCAAGTCCTGAAGCCTCTGTGTTGAACTCTGAGACAGGACATTTTTTATTAACAAAATGTCTTACACTTTTATAGATGTCATCATCTATAGGACATGAGTCAGCAGAGCCAGTGATGTACAGTGGCCCGCATCCAAGTAGTTATGTAATATTTGTAATATATTATATAAGTACTGCTGCTTTACCTGCAGAAAGGGTTCCAGCTGCTGCAGCAGCTCCTGGTCTCCTTGAATTTTCTCCTCCAGAGATTTAATCCGAACATATAGAGAGGAAAACTCCACCTCAATGTTTTCCACTGAGACCCTACATGAAAATATCAAAACAGAGACATTTTGATCATGAAAAAGTGCTTAGAAGCAACATTGGAGATGGCTTGCATGATAATCAGATTGCTAACAAACACTGCTTAGTGACAATATTCAACAGCATTTTGAAGAAAGATCCCAGACTGTCATCAGGAGAAATGAATGTACTTATCCCAAGGGAGGGAGGGAGAGAGAGAGAGAAAGGGGAAGGGAGGAGTACTCTCATCTCTGGTGCAGAAGCTGTGCTAACTGCATTCAGAGATGACCTTGTGAAGCTGACAGAGCCTGACAGCCTTTAGCATCAGCCTGCATTCTAAAAAATGACTCTCCAAGTGCTGCACTTAGGTTAGATGTCAGCTTGTGTAATAACTTTAGATGTGCTGTCAATTAGATTATAAATAAAAATGTTAAAACCACACTGGTAATCAAATTTTTCAAAGTTGGGGTCATTTACAGAACAAGGAAATAATGAATAAAAGAAACACATAGCACAAATGTACCCACCACTTATTTGTCAGAGGCCACTATGTGTTACATTATCAATCAATCAATTTTTATTTGTATAGCGTCAACTCATAACAAGTGTTATCTCGAGACACTTTACAAAAAGCAGGTAAAATACCTTATTTATTGCTATGTTACAAAGACCTGTCCTATCCATCATGAGCACTTTTAGCAAAGCATCAAAAGTTACAGTGGTAAGAAAAATGATGTAGGTGTTTTCAGACCAAACAGTTCTGGGGACTTTTTGAAGAGGAACTATTCACTGAGGAGTTCCCTGAGAACTACAAACCATGGGGACTTTTTTTCTGTCTGCATTCAGAGCGCCATGGTGATGGCTGATATGAACCTTGACATAAGCCGACAGACAGTTGCTAGAGCAACGTCACTTAAGTGAAAAATGGGAACTGAACATTTCGGAGGCCGCTGTGGTGGGAGCTGTGTGTTTGTTGTGTGTGATTGGGTTTATGAATACAACTGAGTTCACCAATTTACAAATTTGAATTTGGTGAAACTGGACAACCTTTGATGGAGCAAAAAGTCCCCACCTTCCAGCCTGCTTAATACCATAATATTCTGTAAGGGAAGGTTAGAGTGACTATGGCCTCGTTCACACATGCACTTTTTTAGATAATTTCAGGACACTTAGGTCCTGATATTTTCAGGAACATGCCTTTCACCTATTCACCTCAAAGCAGGAGATTTTCTGTTACAGATGTGCTTTCATAACTCCAAATACTCCATCATCAGCCCACTTTCGCCAGCAGTCACTGTTTCAGACTTTACACATTTTAAGAGGGGGCTGGTAGGAAACAGTCCAGATAGAGTGGAGACATTTTTCAAATTGTCACAAACAGTTTACCTGGATGCTCTCTGGACATCCTGGAGTTTCTCTGGAAACCTGAGCAGATTCTCGTCCTTTTTCTTTGCCTCCTGTGTGGAGAGAGCACAGATGATCAGACACATTTATAATCCATATGTTCGTTACTGCTCGGTTTTAAGTAGCATCATTGCGGTGTGAAGGGGCCTGCCTTTGTTTGGTTATATAAGAGCTTGGCAAGCTTCTCTTGACTCTTTTCTGTTTCCTGTTACCATCTGCTGTCCACCTGCCCTCCTGTTAACTCAACACTTGACTGTTTACAAGCACCACTTCTGTGAAACGTTTATATAAAACTTATTCTAAACGATGTGTGATTTGTTTCACTGAAATGTGTCCTGTCCTCCTTTGTTGTGATTTTGTGTAATTTAAACCACATGCTTTCTGATATGAAATATCAATAAAGTATATCTTATCTCTTTAAAAAGGTTTTCACAGTCCAATACTTATATATTATATAAATATAGTACATTATCAATATACAGTACATTTAGTACATTAGCTTCTTAAGAAGTGAAAATAGCTTAAAATAAAGAAGTCAATCTTTAGAAGTTATTACCATTTTTCTATAAAAGTACAACAGAAAAAGTTTACCTTAAATAAACTAAATAAGAAGTAACCCTGCAACTAACAGTACCCTTGCAACGTTATTAGCATTCAGTTTATTGCTAACATAGTGAGAGTGTTAGCATTTTGTCAAAGCCCAACTCTGCTTTGTTGGATGGATTTAATAAAGATGTACTTGTTATAACTCTATTGTGATCATCAATGTTACAATTCAAAACAATACAGGATCATCATGTAGTATAACTTCAGTTTTTACTAACCATGGCGACAAAGTGCAACAGGTTCATCCCTGGCTTGTTTGCCTTAGTGTCAGCTAATGAGAGGAGAGATGACAACTTGAAACCAGCAGCGTTTCCTGCGTAGCCACCCTGAGGAACATCGGAAGAAATCAATTAAATGGCAATCAGTTTTTCTTTTTTAAATGACGCTGCTGCAGTTCTATATTGAACCTGTGAACAAAAGCCCCATGTAAAGACCAAAACATGACTTAATCTGCAAACAAGTATAGCCTCTGTAGCTAAAGCCTGGTGTAGCTTATTCATTTTGGTCATAGACCTCATTTAAATAAAGTTGTAAAGAATTAGGTCAACATTTAAGTAATATACTTATTTTTCTTTCTTCCTGGGAGTTAGATAAGTAGATGATCTATACTGCTATTCTGTCTATGCGGGAAACTAGAGCAACAGCTTATTAGCATAGCTTAGCATTAAGGCTAAGGTGGATGTAAACCGATAGCCTTAGGTTTGAAGGATCAGCCTAATACCACCTTGATAAAATGACCAAATGTGATCCAATATATAAATTATACAGGTTATGAGGTGTTGCAGAATTAAGATATAGTAATACTAGCTTTTACTCATCTCGTTGTTTTCTGTCTTTACCTCATGCTCCATCTGTTCCAGCTTGATAAACAAAACTGGTGAAGAAAATAACTAGTATACCATATATAACGACTATAAGCTGATTTGAACTGACATAGTACATAATTATTCAGGGTTAAACTGAAACATTTTTAGTTTTGGTCTGTTAAAAATGCCAAATACAAAGCCTGCCCCTATCCCTTGAATAAGACAGATTTTGTATTTGAATGCATCAAAGGAACATAACTGTTGCACTTACAGCGTTCAGGATGTTTCCGGCCTGCAGCACCAAATGCAGAATAGCATGAAGCTCCTCACAGTTCATCAGATCTATAGGAAGGGATCAATATAAACTCAATAAAAGATTTCAGAGCAGATTACACCTGCCCATTACACACTACTTTACTGTAGTTCACCACCACCATACACAGTTCATAACAACCACCCACTCCAAATTCAAATCAAGTGCATTTTTTGCATTTGACCTTCTGAATTTTTAGTACAAACAAAAAAATGTGAAATGCTTTTAAAGTTGTAACTAATAAATGTCTGAGAAAGTTCAAAAGCATTTGTCTCATGCAGTGTTTTAACGGATGGCTCTGCAATGCAGTGAGAAGGTCAAAGTACAGTAGAGAGGAGGTTTAAGAAAAAAGTCCAAGACAGCACAGAGAGGCAAGGCAGAGTGACTCAGCTAAAACCACACAGGCTCCAGTGATGGCACATTCCAATCAGCTGTAACTTCACTGCTGTACACTTCTTTTAGTTTATGTGAAATGTCAATTAACCTGACATCACATTAAATAAAGTAGAAGATGAGGTCTACTGAAACTAAACAAAAAGGGGGCCGTCTTTCAAACTTTGGTTTACTGTATGTATCATTACATAGTGTACATTAAAATACAACTATCAGAACAATACATCAAACAGTACAAAGAGGAAACAGTGTTGTCTTTCCAGACTTTATCTCTGGTTAGGCCACTGACATCTCAAATATCTAGGTTACCTGTCATGGCACATGTTAATGTGTGTGTCTGTGTGTGTGTTTGTAAATGTTGCACATGCTAAGTGTTATTACCTTTAGTGGCAACACGGACAACATCGATCTCATTGCTCATGACATTACAAGAAGGGAAGAACTCTTCATGAAGCACCATGGCCTCGATCCGAACCTCAAACCTGTTGCAGATGAAGCAGAGAGGGGTTCATTCTGTTAGACTACGAGGTGGATCTGATTCTGAGGGCGGTGATCAGACAGAAAAGGGAGGTGACAGGCTTTCAATTTAGAGGATGATGGATGAGAACATGTATTTAAACTGAGTGGCAGTTGGATCTGACTGATGCAGCTACAGATACTCCTACCCATTTTAGTCAAATTACTCTAACCAATACTTCCTGTGTAGTATTTTATTTACTTATCATTGTAAAACTTCTCTGTCATACAACCAGTAGCGAATGCATCTGCATTACACTAACATTGCTATAATGTGTTATCACTCAGTGTTGTGCAAAAAGATACAAAAAAGTGACTTAAATCTTTGCAGCTAGCATCAATTCAACAATTTGAAATAGATTTGGATTAGTCACTCTTAGCTAACTCTGGTAGCAATTGAATTCATGTCATCAATAAATGTGCACTGGCCTATACAATGAAAACATACAGAAACTATCATTTGATACGAGGACATGTCAGTGAGGACAGCAGCACAAGTTTGATTGAAAGTTCCCCATAATGAAGTCTGAACATTGCAAACACGTTCTCTTTTCTTTAACTTTCAAACAACTTCACATTTCCCTTTGAGTTAAGTACACTATGTACACACCATAGAAAAATCAACCTACCGAGGCACCTGGATCAAGAGGAACATAAAGGAATCGACCAGTGTCAGCTTGTCTGGGTCTCCTTGAAACGACTGGAGCTTCTTGATCTGTTTGAAAAGATTAAAAAAAGGAGGAAGCTCAGCATGCTCTCTTGTTGTCTATGTACCGGTACATTCACTGTTCTTTTATAATCAGGGAAAGTGAAAGAACACAAACCTCCTCTGCGTCTGGCAGGAGCCTCAGCAGGTCTTTGAGCAGCTCTGCTCCGTAATTCTTTCCTTCTCCTTGTCGTATGTCCTCAACAATAGAGCTGTTGGACCTGGAAGTTGGATATTTTGATTCAGTTGGATTGCAAATAACACAGGTGCTCTATTATGATGCTTTCATGAGATTACAAAGGCTGTCTGGCTTAGCAATATTCAATGTTCAATAGATTATCACTAAACATTGTCCCATATTTGATTTTGTTTCACTGCAATCAGAAGCTAAGGAGATGCTGTAATTGCAAACACATAACCATTGGGTGCTAATGCTAAATATGACAAATGTCAGACAATGTAATAGGACTTTTTGTTTTCAACACAAACAGCAGTTTAATCGTGTTCTTGAGCATCACCAACTCGACTGACAAAATTGACAAAAACCCTAGTTTTACCACTCGTTACATGGGAGTAGCTGCTCCTCTGCTGCCTCAAGATTAACATTTTTTGTGCTTTTTTATTCTACGCAACATTCACGTTTAATTCAATAAAACCATTTTTAAACCAATAAGAACAACAAATAAACAAATCAGGCAGCTGCAGACCAGCAATATAGAAACGTATTGAATATCACAGACTTCCTCCGAATACAGTCACACCCTTGCTGTGTCTCTGAGGATGACTGTACTGAAAATATGCACTTTAACTTAATTGACTTGACTAATAAAACAGGTCTACACATGAGTCTTTGAGTTACAGAAAACTCCAGTCACCTCAAATTAGTAACTACTTGATGAAGTCACTGATCGCAATGAGTCCTGACTCACTGCAGTACAGCTGACAGTCAAATGTCATTAAAATACAGTGGGGAGCAATGCAAATACACTGTGGTACAACTCAAACACTGTTCTGTTCTCTTCCCCAGACGACTTCTGTAACACAACACTGAGTCTGGCTGAACACAACTTGAGAGTTCCAGAACCAATTAATTATGAACAATGGAGAGCTAAGTAAGCCTATTACTATAGCTGACACAGATTTGGACCCTAATCTCCAATAGTTATAAATCTTTTTAATGGAATCCTTAACAGTCTCGCTCAAAAACACAACCTTCAACCGAAAAGGTTTTTTAAGATACAAGTCTCATTTTCTGGAAAAGCTAAACCTGGCTCTAGTGTTAGATACAAACCAAGACTTATTTCTCTTAGGAACGATCTTATTTCATCTTATGCAGTCTTTCCTGAGTCTCAAAGTACCTCCAGATATTTAAACAACAACTTGTAGAGAGAAGAATTTGAATTAAAATGTAAGATAGCTCACTGCCATCCTCATGGTGGAAAAAGCTGTCTTTCCTCAATAGACAGATATCAATATTTATGCAGAAAGTTATTGACCACCAGCTACATGCCACTACCCACCCCTCACCAAGACACTATGCATTTCATATTTTTCACTGTTGTGGTCCTCATAATCCTTTAAGACTGAATAAGCTCTAACACTTTTACACAACCACACTGAGTTTCACAACAGAGGCCCCACAGAAAACAAATGATTATACTGTAAATACAGAAAGGTTACAGAAGAACAGCTCATTTCTTTATTGGTAAAAACTGTACTGGGGTACATTACTTTTTAACACATCTATTTTGATTTTAGAGCAAGAGTTTTGCATAATAAATGTGTATAATTAGGTGCATTGCTGAGTTGATTGACAGGTGGGTGCATTGTAGCTGTTTGCTAGTCGGCTAAAGCTAGGGTTGGGTATCGTTTTTTTTTTTTTTTCGATACCAGTCTTCAATCAATACTTAAAAGAGGGTGGTGCCTAAATCGATACTTTTAAAAAGAAAAAAACAAAACAAGACCATGGTCGTCGACATTAAAAAGCCTTTAATTGGAAAGCTCACTTTGAAAAACTTAAATTTGAGCTCTATAATAACTATTTAAATTAAAAAAATATATATTTATCATAAAAAATTCACATAATTAATAAAACCTAACCCAACAACAATGAATTACACCCACCCCATTGACCGCATGTCAACGGCACAGCCTGGTTATTTTAATTATCTTGGACTTAGGACAAGCGAGACATAATTTTAAACACACCTCTAGCAGGTAGACCCATTGAAATGGAGATGTCAGTCCGTACTTCCCTGGGCTCAAGTGAAATCCAGCCAAGCCATTAGAGCACATAGCTTTGTGAACAGTGAGCCACTTACACCCTCTCTGACACAAAGTGGCGTAGCCCTATGGTCAGTGAGCGTTAAGGACCGTCTGGCTCTAAAGTCAGAGCGGAACACTCATCAGACCTGGATTCAATTTAGGTCACAAATCACTCTTTCACATTAACTTCGTTTACCCGCCACTGTAGCCTGTAGGTTGAGAAAATTTACCGGCTTTGCATCAGGCATTTTGCTATGTGTTTTAACTAGCAAAGCTAACACTAAGCTAACAATTACCTGCTGTCGTCTATGTGTAGCATTAAAGATAAATATAAAGATAAACTTTATTGATCCCCCGTGGGGGAAATTTGTGCATTACAGCAGCTCCAGAAAACAGGGGACGGGAATATAATTATAAAAAATAAAAATAGAAGTTAAAAATCAAACATATTTACATCAGTTAAATAAAAATGATTAATGTTAATGATGTTTACTCTTGTCGTGGTCCATTTGATAATGCTTCTGTTGCCTGTAATGTCCGTTTCTGCAAAACAGATTTCTAAGTTTAGCTGCTACTAGCCAGTGTATTCAGTTAGCTGTACAGCTAGTAGTTATGGGTAACTTGATCCACCTGCTCTGGGAGCACTGGGTATTTAGGGAGGGTTCGTGCTTACACCACTCAGTTGCACAAGAGACTCAAGACAATGAATACATTTCACCAAACTTGTTTGTCTTTGTGTCCCCCTGTAGGCTTGTAGCACTTTCTTTATAATGACAGAAGCTTTTTTCTAATACATTTCCTTTGTTTCTGTATTTTTCATGTTTTACTAAGTTATTGTTTTTGTTTGGATTATTGAGTGTTTTGTTGAATTTGCATTATTTCTGAATTTTCAAACACATTTTTACTGATAAAGATCGTTATCCATTACAGCTCGTTCGCCTTTATATACCACCATAATCAACTCTTCATAAAGCAAAAGTCATCTTTATGTCATTTGCTCCTGTACCTTGACAACTTTCTCTCTCTGTAAGACACGTCTAATCTTGCCATGGTCATTAACTGATATGCAGGAAACATTGTGATGTTTGCAAAAAACACTCTTCAACCCCCTCATCAAGTCATCAAATAAAAACAACTCCTTCAAGACATCAGCCACGTTGACGATCTCTGTCAAGGAGCTTCAAAGCAGCTCTGGAAACCTGACTCAGCATTTTCTGTTGTGTTGGTTGAAGTCACCTTTACATATGTCCACCCTTCCCTCGGGGGAGTGAAACAGTTGGAATGACTTACTTCTTGAACTGCTTCAGGAAAATGCCCACATTCATCCCCCTTTTGGAGTCAAGAATACTGACCTGAAAACAAATGAAAGACATCACACATTACAAATGATTGTGTTGTAGATTTTGAATAAACACGCTCAAATCCTGTGTACATCTGCACACACTCCCTTCCTCTAAACATTGCAGGTTGTTGTTGCTTTTGTAACCTACACAACATCCCCCCCCACCCCATCACCACTACATTGCATAGTTATCCTATGGGACAGTGCAATTCCACTGGGCCTCCCTCATTAACAAAAGCTTGAACTGCTTCCCTTGAGGGGTGACTGTACATGACTGTAGAGTATGTACATATAAAAGACTCCCTCAACAAGACCTCATTACAGCTTTTAAAAAGGTTAGGAAAATAGTCCAGCTAAAGTGGAGGAATAAAAAAAACAGAAAGCTTATGAAAGTCATTTACTTTAATAAAAAAAAATACAAAATAAAAATAAAATAATAAATTGATTGGAAAAATAGAAAATGGTTACAACACAACAGAAATGGACGATGATGAGTGACCATGACCATGTATAATGACTCATCAAAATGGTATTGACATTGTTATATTTCCTACACAATTTAAGTTTCCTACACAATATATTTCTTACAAGATCTAAGGTGTGTTGGTGTTTTTTATATATTTTTTTCACATCTGTAGGCTTATGTGTTTTTTTATGATACATAAAAACTGTTTATAATTTTAATTGCCCAAGCAGGAAAAGAGATGAAAATCAGCATGACCTATAAACTCCCTGTGTAGTGCATCAGTAAAAATAGTTCTCTGAAAACTGCTCACACTTTGAGACTTGAGTCTTAATTGTCCCGACGCAGGTATTGCTAACCGTTTCACATGTTTATTTCCAGGAGTCAATAATGACGTAAGATAAGATTGTTTTTTTGTTACAAACACAAATAATATTTGACGCTCAAAGCAAAGTTGTAACTGAGCACCAGTTACCTAACATGTCCCTGCACTGACATCTTGGGGGGGGGGCAGCAGCATTATTTACAGTAGCATTGTGTGATGATGAATCTGGGACTTTCTAATCCTGGTGTGCTCAGAAGCTTAGGTAACCTGCTCGATCTTGCACATGTTTGAGAAAACAATGGCTGTTGATGTAAGAGTTTGAAGGCATCAGACACCCATATTCCCCCTAATCAAGATTCCGTATCTTCTAAATCTGAAATTTGTTACGACAAAACTATGAACAAATATTTTCAGTTACAGGTATAAGAGCATTTCAGGTCCGACATTGACTACTTAATGACCTCTATTTTGTGCCCCTTCATACATTTACATCCTGTACTGTTTGTGTGACTGGTGTTTCTATATGTACCCATTACCTGATTAAATAGTGGTAATGTTAAATCAACTTTAGTGGCAAGTCCTCTGTAATGACTATACTGACTTCCCTCACAGAGGTTTAATGGTGATTTAATCTCTATGCAATCACTGTCAACACTGTCAATACACATTTTCTATTGTTGCTACTGTAGGTCTTAAAACAGAATCATGACAACCACTCACGTCCTCCTTGCTGCTCTCCTTGAAGGAGCGGGCCCGGGACACACGTGTCGAGGTCCCTGTAGCCGGCGTCGGCCCACGTACTCCCGAAGACGCATCCTCCTGCTGCCCAAACAGCTCCTCCACTGACCGAACATCAATCTGGTATTGCTGCTGCCGCACTGCCAGAGTCCAGATGTTCGGCTTTTCTCTGACCCTCTCCTCAGGTATTGGCTTCCAGAAGAAGCTGCGGACACGGCGCTTCTTTCTTGTGTTCTGGTTGCTGGATGTGATTGCGGGAGGTGGAGGAGGAGGAGGCACATCTGGAGGAAGTGGGGGTGGAAGGGGAGGAGGTGGGGGAGCTTTGTGGCTGGAGGTGTCGGGGTCATCGCTGAGGGAAGGTATGTTGGCGTGAGTGTGTGCGGACATAGAGGACAGGTCGGAGGTGGTGACAGAAGAGGTGGTGCAGCTGCTTCCCTCACTGCTGCAGCTCTCTGGCTCATTGGTTGTGGATGGAAAACTCATAACAAGCATTACAGGGAATAGACGCCACCATATGAGCTCTAATGTTATGTATTTAATACTTCATCCTTTTTCAAATGATTTCCAAAGAGCTAACTTTTCTTCTTTAAGGTGCATCAATTCACTCAAATAATCCGAGTGCTGCAGTGTATGTCCTCTAATTGAAGAAGAAGTTAGGTGTCCCCTCATCTAGTCACAATGAAGGGGAGCATGTCCTTTGATTCTGTCTGTCTCCATCACTCAGCTGGTCAGCCAACGTGCTGAGCAGAGCCTTTGAAGGTTACCTCCCAGGGGCAGAGGGTGGAGGTCGGCGATGGCCATGGAGCTACAAGAGCAACAAAAACAACACAGGACAGTATTATATAGAGGAAGTCATGCGTGTTGTCAAGGACAAATTCGGAAATTAGCGGAAATTAAGGGGTGCAAGAGATCAAAAGAAAAGGGGTACACGGTCAAAAGGGCTTACAATGAAGGAAATGGCAAATCCAGTTTTTTTTTGTAATTTGTGGAGGGCTTTGAAGTCAGGCTGTGGAGTGAATAATGGTCTGAGACATTTTACTCACAACTTAGATTCTGTTACACAATTTGGTATCATTTTCAAGTTCTCATATTACGAACCAATAACAAAGAAAACAAGTCAATCTCATTGTTGTCTTATAACAGGTACATTCAAATAAACTGCATTCTTGCTCTATGTTTCAGATGGTATGTCCACTTAGGTCTAGTTTAGTTTTATTGATTTAGTTTCTTGCAGAGAAAGTCTGAAATGAACTTCAGTCAAGTGTAAAGTAACAACTGCTTAAATCATGTTGACACATTTACTGACTTATGCTTGTGGCCAATCAGCATCCAGTAGTGCCTGTCCCTTTATGGAAAACAGCAGGTGGTCTCTAATGTTTTTAGATCAACATCATCTGTTGCCAGAGGAAAGGGCCTGTTGCACAGCAACACCATTTACTAACATTCCAGAGCCACAGCAAAAATTATGTACGATGCTTTGTGAGGTCATGATTGAACATACGCCACTTGCAACTCAAGAAGACATTCAAAAATGTTATAGTTCTGGAGAGCATGTGTAAATTGCCTTATGCCATATAGAGAATTCAAATCCGCTCCAATACATCAATTATATCTTAACACCTGCAGAGCTCAGCTGATAGTACTGTCTGCCTGGGTATGTTGGAGATAATAGAAACCCCATACAGTGATTATCTACCACCAATTATACATACCGATTAAAAACAGTTGCACAATTATTGCAAACTATTTGATTAATAATCAAACAACTGTTGAGAAACACATCTGAACACAAGCTCCCTGGAATATCTTAAGTTTTACCAGTCGAAGTCTTGACCACTTTATTTTGAAACACTAGTCTTTAAAAACATCAGAGAATAATTTGAACTCATAAGTGCTTATTGATTCTTGCATTGGATAACTCAACCACTCTGCAACCTTGCAGACCAGAAGAGGAAAGGAAGTAAAGGAAGTAGAAAAGGAGTGCCTGAGCCTCCCCTCTCTCTTTTTCAAGTCAACATTACCACTGATGCTCTCAGTTGGAGGGAAACTGGTCCTGTTTCAGGACAGCTCATCACTCAGCACCACAGTTGACATGGCCACAGTGATCTGATACTCTTCTTGGCCTCAACAAAAGAAACAACTAATGTTTCTGACAAAAAAAAAACATGCGAGAACATCAGAGACATGGTGGTGGATGGAAATGAGTACATTATTTCAAGCACTTTAACAGAAATAATTTGGTGTCAGTGCGAGTAACAGCTTCCAGATCGGTCAAGGTTTTGTCTTTCATTGGCATTCATTCAGATAAAACAATTTTAAGTTGGTATCAAAGGCTTGATAAGTGTCTTTTTGATTACTTTTATTATCACCCCTCTGCCTCTTACACAACTCTTTAACATCTTAGTGACAATCTCCCATTTGTCAGCAGCCTTGTCCATCTGATACCCAGAGTTTATAACTAATTTATAAAGCAGACGTCACAACCGGCCTCAGGTTGCCAACATCAGCCAGTGCTCTCAGCTATACTGTCCTCAGAGCTGGGCCACACCGTGACTCATGTCTAATTCATTAGATTGTGAGAACATCTGACCTCACACTGAGTCAGCTCTACCTGTGGTGCTTAAAACATGGCTACGCTAACCGATGCTTTGGAGAAACTGTGGAACAAAAACACTTGAACTGTTATTGGCTCACCCTTTGCTTTATTCTAACTTTTATTTGCGCTCTGCCAGCTGATTTAAAGCTCCTGTGAGGAAGTTTTAGTTAAGCATTTAAATTCTTTTAAATTACTTCTATAATGTAATTTTTGAATGACAGTAGCTGCTGCCATAAGGTTATTTCCATGGCAAAGATTCACAAAGAGGACAAGATCAATGTCCACAGGGGTTGCCCTAAAAACGAATTGTTCCCGACAGGAGCTTTGAATTTATAGCTCAGAAATAGATGTATTTTTCTTATTGGACTGTTATACGAGAAGTTTAACACAACTCTCTTCTGTAAGCTAAATATAAAACTTTAGCTAGGAGGCAGTTAGCTTAGGTTAGCTTACTTAAGCATACAAAGGGCTGGAGAAGTGCTAACTCGGCTGTTTAAGAAAAGATATATTGGTTTAATAAGTATACTATTTTTAGAGGTGTACTTACAAACCTTTGTACAGAGCAAAGCAAACTCCCCTTAGTGTTCATGATCAGCTAACCTTTACCTAACTCTACGTTCTCTGACTCCATATTTGACAGACATTTATTAGACTAACAACAATATTCTTGTTAAACTCTTGTTTGAGAGTGCCAAAATACATTCCCCATACGTTCTCTTTCCCATTACTAGCTGCGTTAACAATAAATGTTCCAGCAAGCTGCTGTAGAGCTTCATGAACTTTAAAAACAATCAAATAGGATCATAATAAAATGTGTTCATTGATCATTTTTTAGCTGCTAGGGGATTTTTTTAGCCTAACAGCATCCGTGTTGTATATTTTTGCAACACTAGCCATATTTGATTTTAAAGTAATAGTGGTATCAACACGTTAACTAGTGTTTTTCTCAAAATGTCTAGCTTGCCTGGTTAAGTCTGAAGTACTCCTGCAACAAATTGTAAATGTCATGCATTATTCTTTGACTTGAATTTAAACAAAATATCATCTTATAATAATCAAACTTCTATTGATGATAGGCATATTTTGTTTCTGTTTTCATGGGGCCAAGCCAGCTGTTTCCAGCCTATGCTAATCTAGCTAAGGTCACTGTCATGTCCAGCTCTGTGTCTTAGGTTATGTTTAATTTCTACTTGTATTATTTCCTGTTTTGGGTCACTAACCTCTCCTCTCGTTTCAGATCCTTCACTTCCTGCCCTCATGTGTTTCCCACCTGTGTGATTGTCTGCCCCGCCCTGATTGTTCCCAGCTGCATCTCGTTGTCTTCTCCCTCACCTTAGTATTTAGTCTGTGGCTTCCCTTCTTTTGTGCCAGTTCGTGTTTGACCCTGTGTGAAGCATACAAGCCTTTTGTTTCCTCTTGGATCACTTTTTTGCATTCTGTCTGCTTGTAAGAAGTAAAGACTGTTTTTTTTTCCCTAACCAAAGACTGTGTTTTGAGTCGTGCTTTTGAGTTCAATTACCTGTGGTTTTGTTACAGTCACTAGCCTAATTGTAGCTTTATATTCCCCCTACAAAAGTAATAATCTTCTAAACTTAACTTCTTTAAGAAAGCAAGTTATTGCAATCCCTTAAATATAAAAAAAAGTCTCCCGAAATGGAACGTTTGGAGAAAAGTCTTCCCAGTAAATAGTAGACATTTGAGTGTTGTGTTAATGTTCTCAGGCTGCAGGTAGAGTAGTTCTGACACTGGCACTGATTTATTTGAGGTATTTCATATTCATTTTATTACATTTTGAACTCTAAGGGGGAAGGGGACAAAAACACACATTGAGGCTGTGACTGACATCATTTGCTTAAAATGATTTACAGAGAAGGGAGCACAGCGGTCAGTAACACTAGACAGAAAAGCCCTGAGGGAGAGAAGTGTAGCTCTATTTGGTGGTTTCCAGGTTCCTCTCATCCACCTGCTGCCATGAATGGACACAGACAGATTCATCTAAAGGTCCACCTGTCGTCTACCCTGAAGCATTCCTGCTCCTTTCAGTCTTCATTAATGAAAGAAACACCCCACCCACTGTCATTAGTCTTTGATCGCTGACACAGCCCAGGACAACACATATAACACATAAGCTGTCTTCAACAGCAGTGGAGTTGGGACCTCTCCCAGTCTGGTCTATTTGTATACCAGTAACTGAGATCCCCACCCAGGCAAGGACCCAAGTCTTTTTATTACATTCAATGGGCCTCATTCACACAAGTATTAAAATTGTTCTTAAATTTGTTCTTAAGTTCCTAAGAAAAACCATCTGATCCATGACTTGTTCTTAATCAAGTGTTCTGAAATTAATGAAGGCCATGTCCTCGTGGCTTGTGCATGTTTTTCCTAAAAAGCATAGAAAAACAGCTATTTTCTGCCCATATAAGGGCATGTGACTGCAGGGCAGTGTGCACATAGCACACACACACAGAAGTTACACCGGATCAAAAAAAGAAGTCAAGAAATCTGTAATGCTCAAGTTAAAATCTTTAACCGGTTGAGCACTGGACACCAAGTTAGAAATACTGAAGTAGTCTTAAAGTGGATGTTGCTGCTCAAAGTGAAATCCAAACAGGCTGATTTAATTATATGATATTTAATAGTGTAAGAAGTGGCAAACCAGATGAAATGAAAAATAACTGGAAACCAAAGAGACATAAGTAAGTTCTCACATTTCAAATTCGAAAGAACTATAGTTTGCAGAAAGTAACATTTATTCTAAAAGCGGCCATACAAAAGATTTGTCATTAACATACCTGTAAAGGTACATTTGTATTATTATTTCATTAAAAATGATTTCCTAAGTGCTGTGTTTATTTATATACTTTAAGTACAGTTTACTCAAATCAAAAATCACCTGATTGAAATGTAAGCTGACCATAATTAAATCGTGTATT